TATATATGAATATATAAAGTAAATTGTTATGTAACTATTATTGTTTCCTGTATGTTCTAATTTTTGGTTTATGATGTAATTAAAGGAAATAAGCTGTGAAGACTTTTCATTTTACTGCGGAAATAGCCTGACTTGGAGCTGTGATTCTTAACTTCCTTGAACCCTTGATCTGTAAAGGCTCCTGAGGCTGAATGAAGGGGCTTCTTTTTGGCATCTTTATTTTTTTTTAATATCCTTTAGTGAGTACCCTTTATTTATTTATTTATTTAATAATCTTTATTTAGTACCTTTTCAATAGCCTTTATTTAATACCCTGCACTCCACTTGCTTCTAAGAAAAACAGAAGACATAATATAAATCAGAGTTTCTAAAAAACTTTTGTCTTAATTGGATAATAACAATTCAACTTGAGTCCCTTATCTGTGCAAAGCATTGCCCTTACCTGGACTAGGAAGGAGTGAGGGAGTGGTGTAATGGTTAAACAAACTCACTACACGTGACCTTGGCCTGTTAACCCCTCTATCTCAGTTCTTTGTTGGTAAAGTGGGGATAACAGTACCTGCTTAGAGTTGTGAAGATTAAAAGTGATAAGAGTGGCACATGGTAAACGCTCACATTTACCTGCTTTTAGTCGCTTCATTTCAGTATATTTCAGTATCTAATCTGTGCCAGAGGCTCCTAGGTTGAGAGATGCACAAAGGCTGATGCCTTTGGTCCCTGTCCTTTTGGTGGAGACGAGCAGTGGAGCCAAATCAGCAACCTCGATTTAAATCTCAGGGTATCTACCGTGCCCTGAAACACCTTTGGGGAGCCCTGTGGAATCGGAGGCCTCACTCGAAATCCGCTCATCCTGCATGAGTTAAATTCCTAATCTGGATTGGTCATCTGGGGCCAGCGGGGTCCCACAGTCCCTTCCAGGGGTGCAAGGAAGCAAGCCTGCTTCCTTGTCCATATTGAGACAGCCTTGGCTTTTGAGGGAGGCAAGTTCGAGGTCTTTGAACTTCAATAAGCAGACTTTCCCTTCCCCTGTGCTTTAATCCTGTTAATTCAGCCAGTGTAGAGCCTTCCTCCTTCCTACCTTCCCTAGCCAGAGGCCACCAGGTTTAGGACTGAACAAAGATGATCAGTAAATGATAAATGGGGTAAATGATTAATAATGGCATCTTGGCCTATCTCCCAGTGCATGCAAATGGGTTTTCTCTTTTCAGTATGCTTGAAATTTTCCATAATAAAAATTTTGAGGGAAGGGGATGAAAAAAGAGGAGTGGAATAAAATATGGCCCCAAATCACTTACCTTTTTTTAAAGTACTTTAATATAAAATTGGTTTTCTACACAGAAAAAAAATACACAGAGAAAATCACCTTCAGGTAGATTATAGGCCTAAAAGTGAAACACAAAATTAAAGTTTGAACTTTGAAAAACATTCATAGGAAATTATATTTACCTTAATGTATGGAAAGATTTGTTAAGACCTAAAAATTAAAAGATTAATTTTAATTCAACTACATTTCTTAAATAAAAAATAATAAAGCCCTATAGCCTCATTGTTCAAGAAGAGAGCTATAGTAATTCCCAAGTCTCTAGAACTGAAGTTTTAAATAAGTGATTTAATAGTTGAATAATCTTTTGGAGGCTTTAGTGGTTAGTTTTTGCCCAAACTAATTGGGAAAAGAGTCCAGTCGGATTTATTTATATTTCTGTCCCAGACTCCGTCCCTTGCCCTGGTCTCTTTAAGCAGGGGACATATCCCCGAGAGGACCATAACACCAAGAGAATTGGACAACACATTGAAAATATATATATATATATATATATATATATATATGTATCTTTACTTTTAAAGGGGATGAATAAAATTTTAAATAAACATGAATTAATGCACTCTGTTCAGCAGCACTGCTTGGGGCAAAAGCTCCTTATCCATATTGCCAGGGCTTTTTTGCCTCACAGGCTTGGCCAGCTCAGCTCAGCAGGGAAGGCTGTGTCTCAGGGATTCCAACAACTTGCTGTTGAGCAGAAAGAAACGTGAGCCTGGGGGCTGCTTGGCTCCTCCCCAGGGGTAGGAGGACACATGACGATTTGGCTCTTCACCTGAAGCCTGGTGAAGCAGCTGAGGATGTTAACAAGGCTTCTGGTGAGCACAGGACCCCAGAGAACCAGGCTGGCACCAGTCTCCTCCTCTTGCAGCAGGGCACCCCTGGGCCTAGGTCAGAACCAGGTAGTAGCCATCTGGATTCTGCACTGAAAGCAGTAAAAAAAAAAAAAAGAAAGGGCACCACCGGGGTGAGACGGGCCCCAACCACCACTAGCTACTGTGCTGCTTCTAAACCTCTAAGCGGCCTGCAGGGCCTCTGCCACACCCAGGTGTTCTTCCAGCCCCACCCTGGATCCAGCTCTTTAGGAAGCCTCCCTGGGTACCGGAGCACAGAGGAGGGATAGAGGGCAGGCATCTGAATACCAGGACCACAAGCCAGCTGATCGGAAATGCTGATCGGAAGTGCTCTGCTCCAGGTGGTGTCCAGCAAGCACCTGCCCTTCTGACTTGTATGACTGGGGGGGGGGGGGGGGGGGGGGGGGGGGGGCGGGAAGAGGGGTAGGGGCCTTTCCTTCCCTTCTGATGAGCTCCCTGAAACTAGGGCATGTCTCCCTCATGAGAATGCGTTTATTCAGTTCCTTCTTCCTGAGCAATAAATGGCTGTCTCGTAGCTGTATGACCCTGTCCCTTTGACACAAAGCTGGTGTTGAGCAGATGTTTACCCCTTGATTGGGACACAGCACCCGCAACACACCTTCAAGGAACCTTTTAATCTCATTTAGGAGGCAGTATTATAAACAATCTTACCCTTTCTAGGGCCTGTGAGACACACGCCTCTCCCTCTCAAAGCCCTACCTTTCTTCACCACAGCCACAAAGTACGACTCATCCTCAAGATTCTGAACCACCTGCAAGGGAGAGGGGTCACTAAGACGATTCTGTTCTTAGAACCAAACGGAATAAGCTAGGACAGGGAGACGGAGACTGGGCCTGGTGTTGGAAGAATGATCCAGGCCTTTGTGGAACCTTGCAGGGAACCGCTCCCGATTTACCTGGTCACTGAGGAGAATGAGGATGCCCCCAGGGCCCTGGTGGAAGAGCCGATGGATCTGATTGGCTGGGAGGGCCAGCAGTTCAGCCAGTTTCCCCATGAGCTCTACAGCACTGAGTTCATCCAGAGAGATCTCTTGATAAAAGCCTGGGGGTGTGGGCAGCACAGGGGCAGGAGTCAGTGGGGGCTGTGGCCCAGAGGGAGCCCCAGATATCAGGAGAAAGGAGAAGACAAGGCGACAGGCTCATTGGGAGGGCCCGGGTCAGGGAAGAAGGAATAAACCTTACAAATCCTCTTCACTTTCACCTCCTATTCCTCACCTTTGGGGAGGCCTAGGCTGAGAGGAACCCCCAGTTTAAAGAAGAGATGGGACACCATATGATAGAATGACAGAATCAGATGGAGTCAGAGTATAGAGCATGGAGGAATAAACCCAGGGAGTCATCCTGAAAGAAGACTAATCTAGTCATGGAAGATGAGAATGCCAAGGGCATCCTGGGTCCCAGGAATGGTGGAGCATCACCCCTTCCCCAGCCCAGAAGAGGTTTCATGCAACCACACCTGAGTTTCTTGTCTTCTGAAGAGGCCAGAACCTCACCTGAATCAGGGTTCTTAGGAACCTCGTTCTCTTGCCTAGAGGCCTCCTGAGCGACATACAAGGTCAGCCGGTGACGGATGGGCCTGGGCCAGGAAAATAGTCTACATTCATACCTGAACTAACAGGTTCCAGTTTTAGCCCCCATCCCTGGGAGAAACCCTGTCTCCTCCCAGGTCTCTAGGGATAGGGGGTCACCAAACTTTTCTTAGGTATTTAGTGAATGCTGGACCCTAGGGGAGAGAAGATGAGAAGAATCCATCTCTGTCCCCAGAAACTGAGTGATGCAGATGGGCTGGCCACAGAAAGAAGTCACAGGAGCCTAACTTTTAAGCCCAATTCTGCTAGCCTTGCTTGCTCTGTGACCTCAGGCAGGTCGCTGTCCTTTGGTCCTGAGTTTCTTCCTTTGTAAAAAGAGAGAAGTGGGGCTAAGTGGTCTTTCAGGAGCCTTTGGCTTGAACAGTCTATGAAACGTGAGTGTCAGCTGAGTTGGTAAGTGCCACTACAGTGGGAAGGGGACCCTGGTTGGCAGTGCCCAGCACCTGGCTCTTAGAGTATTGAAAAGGCGGATCCCGTCGGCAGCTCCACAGATCTGGATAAGGTCCTGGCGGGTAAGCTTCAGCAGATCAGTGCCTGCAGAGTCAGACAGGGCTAGATTAGGGGAAGAGAGCACTGGGATCAAGGGTGGCAAGGGATACAATCCAACATTAGTCTACAAATAGCCCTGGTATGCCCAGACATGGGAACCAGACTTGGATTCAAATCCCACCTGTGCCACTTGCTAGCTGTGTGTCCTTGGGTAAGTTATTTAACCTCTCTGAGCCCTGTCCTCAGGGGTAGTGTATAAATTGTATGGGATAATACACGAGAAGAGAGCCTAGCCAGCATAGTATGCTTGCCAACTCTTAGTTCTACATAGAAGTTAGTTGAAGGTCACACAGCAAGCCAGGACAGAGACAGACTTCCTGCCCGACTGTCTGCCCTCAGTCCCCTACAGGTCAGGTCCCTACCAGACCCCAGCCTCACCAGTGAAATTGGCCAGCGACCGACAGTAGTTGGAGAACCGGTGCCGATGCAACCACTGCTGTGTCTCTAGGATGGAGGCTCCAGGGTTCAGATCCTGAGGTATAAAGAGAGCGGTCCAGATAACACCGTGGACCCACGGACTGAGAACAAGGTGGAGGGGAAACATGGCCCCTGCCCTTGGAGGTCCCAAGTCTGAGACGGGAGGCTCATCCTGGCGGAGGCAAGTGCCCAGCGCCATCCGCGAACCATTTGACTATCTGTGGCCATACCACATCTCCCCACCAGGGGGCAGGGCCACCCTATTCTGGAGAGTGAGGTGACACTGCTGAGAAGGCTTTGCAATAGGGGGTGTGGGAGTGTGGAAAGGAAAGACTCACCTGGGCTGGGCTGCCCCCCAAGGTGTCCAAGGCGAATGGTGGTGAGGAGCAGAGCCTGTGGGGAGCAGGGAGTCAGGCTCAGGGAAACAGTGCGGCCAGTCTCCTGCCCCCCTCATCCTTCCCCAGGCCTGTCCCGGTGTCACCCACGTGTTCCCCAGAAGCTGCCTCAGCTGCACCCTCAGGCCGGCCCTCCCCCGCTGCCTAGGCTGAGGGGCTCTTCTCTTCATTCTCACCCCCAAGGGCTGACAGAAGGTGCTCGTCCTGCCTCACCTCTCCGGGGGGAGCTTGCAGGAGTTGGGGGAGGTCAGAGCAAGAGGGCTCAGAGGCGGGTGGGGTCCCGAACTGGGCTCTGGCCACGGTGAACACTGCAGGTAGACAAGCAGTGAGGTTAGCCTGGACATTCGGGTGTGTGTGGGGGCGGTGGGCAGTGGTGGCTGTTGGCCTGCCTTGGGCCAAACTTGGCCCCTGCCCCAGGAGTCCCTGACAAGTAGATCAAGTTTCCACCCAAAGAAGAGAGTAAACTAGCCTGCAGCTCTGTTTGGGGGATTTGGGGAAGGCTTCCTGGAGGAGCTACAGCAGGAAAGGAGGTGCTCCAGGCAGAGGGAGTAGAAGTGAGGGGCGGCCACGGCAGGGCAAGGAGAGGCAGCCGGCAAGGCGTCATCTCCTGGGAGTCTTGAACAACAGGCAGTGCAGTTTGTCCTCGCAGGAAACAGGTGGAATCACTGGGAGGCTGTGATGATCCTGGAGCAGTCGCAGCCCCTGAGGCCTCAGTTTCCCAGCGTATACAACGAGGATCTTTTCTCCAGACCTCCCCTCCCGCCCCCACACCCAGTACACACACCTCCATGAAGACTGTGCTCTCACAGGCTGTCTGATACTTGTCTCTCTCATGCACGGGCTGTTTCTCAATCTTCTCCCGGTCAGTTTTCAGTTTCCGGTCAGCTCCTTTGGGCTGCAGGAGGGTGACAAGAAAACCTCGGAGGCCTTCTTCACCTGCCCACTTCTCATTACAGGAGGGGCTCTGAGAAAGAGACCAAGCCCCATCTCTCTGTGCACGGAGAATGAAACAGTCCCAGAGAGGGGAACCGCAGGCTGAGGGTCCGCTGCAAAGCAGAGCCAGATCCACACAGCCAGCAAGGCAGGGTGACAGCCCTGAGAGGGAGGGGACAGGGCCCCCGTGCTGCATGTACCTTAAACACCTTGATGAGGCAGCCAGCTGAATGCAGGTGCTCCGGCGAAAGCTCCTTGTCACAGGGCTTGAAAGTGTCGATCTGAAGGCGGAAGGGAACACCTTTCTCTCCACCTTTTTTCCTAGGAGTGAACTCAGTGCTGATGCAGTGAACCTGAGGTGGAAAAGAAGGGTGCCTCCAGGTCCCACCCACATTCAAGGGATCTCACCTGAAAGCTGTTACCTGTCTGTCACCTGTCAGCCATTAATCACAGCAACTTCCCACCCCCAACCAGTGTCTATTCTTGAAGCATAACTTTTTTTTTAAGGGGAACAATTTTTTCCAGCTTTACTGAGATATACTTGACATATAACACTGTGTATGTTTAAAGTTTGCAGTGTGTTGATATGGTACGTTTATATATTGGAAAATGATTACCACCCACCATAGCATTAGCTGCTAACACCTCCATCACAGAAACACCCCATCACATAATTACCCTTTTTTTGGTGGTGAGATCATTTAAGATCTACTTTCTTCTTAAAATATAACTTTATTAGGTTCTTTCCCTTGTTCAAAATCCCTCAGCAGCTCCCCAGGGTTATGAGATGAGAAGCAAAGTCCCTGACCCTGGCTGGCATTCAAGCATCTTAAAGAGTCAAGTCAAGCTTTTCTGCCCGGCTGCTCTCTCTCCCCCATCAATGAACCCGCTGACCTACCGATCCAGCCTAATCATCACCTCAATACACCTGCATAGCTTTTTCTCTACCGGGAAAGCTCTCTCTGCTCACATCTGAGCCAATACATCCCATTCCAGAGTAGGGTTGCCAGTTAAGATACAGGATGCCCAGTTAAATCTGAATTTCTGATAAGAAACAAATAATTTTTTAGCATCAGTATTCCCAAGTATTGCATGGGACATACTGATACTAAAAAAAAAAAAAAAATTCTTTAGCTAAAATTCAAATTTAACTGAGTGTCCTGTATTTTATTTGCTAAATCTAGCAGTCTACTCCAGGAAGCCTTCCTGACCTGCACACCCACTGTAGCCCTCCCCAAATCTTGTGAAGAACAGGTAAAGGTAGGGAAGCTGAGGCTCACAGAGATCATGTGACCTGGGCAAGGTCCATGCCAGGAAGTGGTGGAACTGAAATTGTGCCACATCCACCTGACTCCAAATCCAGATGCTTAGACTACAGTGGACACTCAGAAAAGGGACTTACAGGTGAGTTTTGACAATATTTTTCGATTATAAAAGGAAATCTTCCAGCATAGAAAATATGGAGAACACTGAAAAAGTATAAAGAAGAATACAAGCATTTCCCATCACCCCACCTCTCAGAGATAATACTGTTAACATTCAAGTATTGTCTCTTCCTATCTTTTCTCTGGGCAAGGAAAGAAACCCCACAACTTTTGTATACACACACACTTTTATTTTTACAAAATAGAAATCAAACTTTAAATACAAGTCTATATTCCGCCTTTACTTATGGGAAAGCAGTTTCTCTTGTCATGAAATATTTCTCAGAGACATCATTTTAATGGCTACACAATGTCCATTATAAACCTGTACTAAACACTTATATCAAAGTCAATCCTCTTCTGATGGACATCTGATTATTTAAAATCTTTTAATATATAAAGCGACACTGGCATGAATAGCTGGTAAATATATTTCTGTGTACTTATTGAACACTCCGATAGCGGAACTACTGGGTAAATGAGTATGAACATTAAATTTAATAAAATTTGCCCACGTGCCACATACCTACAGAATGGGTGCACCAATTTGCATTCTCAGGATATGAGGGTGTCTGTTTCTCCAAACCTTACCAATAACAGTTTTTAAAAAGTCTTTGCCAGTTATATATATATATATATATATATATATATACACACACACACACATATAATTTTATTAGCATTATTAGCATTTTATATAACACATTATATGTCATATGTGGCAACTATTTTTCCCATTTGATGTCTCCTTTTAATTTTGCCTGTGTATTGCAGACCGTTACTTTTTATGAAGCTAAATTCTGTCCTATGTTTTTTAATTTCTTCCATTGCCTTAATGTTTAACAAGTCCTTGCCTTTGGTGAGATTCGATCAACATTTATCCATCTTTTTTTCCTCAAGGTGTTTCTAGAAGTGGTTCATTCTTATCACGCCCCCCACCACCACCCAAAATCACCTTCCTTCCCCACTTAGGCTGCTGCCACCCACATCTGAGCTCCAGCCTCCTCCCTGTCTCAGCTTCAGACTCACCTGCAGAAAGAGGGAGGTCCTCTTGGCCGGGTCCCAATAAAACTCCACTGTGTTGAGTTGTGAGGGTAGCACTTGGGGTTCTATCACCCCCACGGACAGTGGCACATCTGCAGGCACAGGGTTGCAGGCAGGGAGTCGGGCTCAGCCCTCCCCATCCACAAGGGCCTCTAAGACAGAAAGCAGCCCTAAAGGGTCCCTGGTCCCTCCCCATTCACCTATGTCCAGGATGCGGTCCCCAGGCCGGCTCCACCTCCACCCATCCAGCTGCTGCTGCTCCGTGTACTGCAGGCGCCGGTCGTGGAAAACCACACGCACCACACTCTGCGGGCACAGGAGGGCGCCTGGGCATTTGGGAACCAGTTCCCACACCTGCGGCAGGCCAACCTTTCCAGCCTCTCCCCCACCTTGCTTCCCACCCTCCAGGGGCAGAAGGACTTAGAATCACTAGATCCGTGTCCAGATGCCACCTGCCACTCACAAGCTGTGAAACTGAGGAAGTAACCTAGAGCCTCAGTTTCCTCATCTGTAAAATGGAGGAGTTAATCCCTTCCCACTCGTAGTCACTCTACCCATTTCTTTTCTTCGCTGCACTTATCAGTTTGCGATTTGTAAATCAATTTGTAATTGCATATATTAATAATTTGTGTAATTACATGTTTGTCTCACTAAGCAGAATGCAAGCCCCCTGAGGAAGGAAACTGCATCTGTCTCTTTACCCCTGAATCTCTAGCTCATCGAACAGTTTCTGGCAAAGAATGGGAGCTAAATACTTATTTTTTTTTTTTTGAGAAAGAAGGAATCATGTGTGTGAGTAATGCTATGTAAATGTATTTCTAAGTCCTGGTTCTGCTACTTACTGGCTCTGTGTCCTTGAGAAAATACTTAACCTCGCTGTGCCTGTTTCCTCAACAATTCCTGCCCACCACTGAGCTATTGTGAAGGTCAGATTGAAAGGTGGACTTGAGAGGGTTCTACTTGACAATGACATCATAGTGATGACACTGGCTTCCTGCCCAGAGGGATAGTCATAGCCAGCTTTTGCCAATTCTGGAAGGGATGCACCTACCTTCAGCAGCCGGGGCCCCTGGGTGGCATCGCCCAGTTTGGGGTTGCAGAGCATCCTCACCTCATAGGACTGGCCTGGGAGAGATTAAGGGGATGTGTGAGACCCACTCTGAGGGGCAGAGATGCTGCCTGCCACCCCCAGCCTGCCCTGGGCCCAGCCTCCAGAGCTTGCTGCCTCGCTAGCCCCTCTCCTTCCCCAGGCCCAGCTCACCCTGGTTCAGGTAGGTGAGGGTCTCCTCCTGCTGCTTCACAGCTGGCGAGGTAGCTGCGCAGAGCACGTACTGGAAGGCGGGGCAGGGCGGTTCCGCACGGGGGATGTTGGGCGGCTCTTCCTGCTTCAGGTAGGGCAAGGGCAAGGCCTCCCTGCCAGGGAGAGGAGGGCACTGCTGGCTTTCTGCCCTGTCCACCCCATCCTCTAAGAGGCTTTGACTCTTTCTGCCAGGTTCTCCCTTCAGGGAGCCCACAGTGTGCTGTAGCAGGCACCCCTGCAGCAGCCAGGGCCTAAGGGGCCCCTGTTCAGCTCCTCTGGCCTCCAGCAGACCTCCCTTAAGGTACAGATCCCAGATACTACCAAGTCTTTGCAAACATCTGCTATTAATTACTCGTTTGCACCCTCAGGGCTTGCCTGACACCCAGTGAATGCCCACCGCAAGTGTCCTGAGTGGGTGGGTGGTCAGGATGTTTTGAGATGTCCTGGGACCCACTGAACTCCAGGTACATTTGACCACTTCCCCACCCCCAGAGGAACTCAAGATCAGGAGGCCCATAAGCTTTCGCTTGAAACAGGGGGCCCTGACGTGTCCATCTCAACTCAGAGCAGGGCCTTCCGCAGGGACTGTGGGAAGGGGATGTGGCCCTTACCTGAGCAAGCTGCTTGGTGGCCCGGGGCACAGTTCCCCGGGGCTGGGCCACAGGTGCTCCGGCTGGCTGTGCCAAAACAGCATCTTGGAAAAAGAGCAGGACCAGCTGTGTCACAGAAGGCTCAGCACCGGGTTGGGCTGGACCCACTGGGCCATCCACCCGGGGCCTCGGGCTTTATATACAAGAGCATAGCCCCAAAAGGGTGGGGCAAGGCCTCAGCCTCTTATTGGCTGAGCAACCGGGGCTCTAGGAAACTCAGGACCTATTAGGCAGCCCAAGCTGAGGGGAATCAAGAAATGGCATCCCTAGGGCTCCCCACCAATCATTAACTCAAAGGGGAAGTGGTGGTGCAGCAAAACAAGTCACCGGACGGACATCCACCGCCCCACCGTTCCCCCAGAGGCCCAGAACAACGAGGGGCACCCTCAGGCTAAAAGATTGGCCCCAGATCCATAAGCCACGTAGAGAGTCCTGGAGACCTATGGGCCCAGACCCCTCACAGGACCCCATGGGGGGAGGGTGGAGCCTGACCGCTCCAGGGGACGGGAAGAGCGACAAACAACATCACATGGACCAACAAAGGGCCTTTGCTCCCCCTGGCCTCCTTCCTTGTCTCTACCCCGCCCCCATACACACAGGTGCAGTGATGGCCTGACACCTGTCCTGTCGCTGGGGGCTACCTGGCTAGGGGACTGGAGTTTACAGAACATAGTCCAGCTTGCTGTGGAAACAACTCGGGGGGTGGTGCTGGGAGAGAGAGCGTGCCTGTGAGGAGGAGGGGGTGGGCCCGGGAGAGCCCCCCCTCCCAGGGAGGTAGAAGGAGAGGCGCTCCAGCTGGGCTGGTTTCTCTGCCCCTCCTCTGCCCTGGGGCTCGGGGTGCACTGTGTTTATGGACAAATACAGTTTGCCTGGGGGACGACCCCCTTCCCCAGGCTCAGCCCCTGTTGTCACTGTACACAGTCAGCTCAGGGGCCCCCCTGCCCCCACCCCCCACTACTGTGTTGGGTGTAAATAGATAAGAGCCTTGCAGAGAGCACAGATGGGGCTCTAAAGATGCGGCTTGACCTCATGTGACCCTAACTATCTAGGCTTTGTGATTCTGGGGGGCCTCCCTTGCAGGGAGAGGGAAAACCAAAGAGTATGCCCACACACACAATGGGCAGGCAGGGTACCTCCAGGTACCTTGGCCCTTGGTCTTCTCTCATGAAGCCGGACAAAAGGAGGAAAAGGGGATGGGAACATTCCTGACAATGGGGGCCAAAGAAACCTGAGTCCCCAAGATCTGCAGTAAGACCCCCAAGACTTCAAGACTCACCCATTGCCCAAAGCTGGATCCAAGGTCAGGAGGCCCCCCATGGGACCCTGCAAGGTTGGACAGAGCAAGATCCCAGGAAGGCCAGGGGAAGGGGAGTAGGAGGGGTCCAGAGGGAGGGCTTGGCCCTGGCCTCGGGGGAGCAGGGTGTAAGGGTGGCAGTGGGGCAGAGGGGATGGGGGTAGGTGGGGGGGCGGGGCTTGTTATGCTTGCTATGGGGGATGGAGGTGGGAAAGGTGGAGGCTGGCGCGGGCCCCCTTCGAGGACACCAGTGGAGGGGATTCCTGCTCCATAAGCCAGTCCCACCCCCTGCACCGCCCCCCAGCCTGTCCTCTACCTCCCGCTCTGAGCACCCCCTCTGAGCACCCCCTCTCTCCTACTCATATTTTAAAAAAATATTTACTTATTTATTTGGCTGCACCGGGTCTTAGCTGTGGCGTGCGGGATCTTCTTTGCTGGCAGGAGGGATCTTTAGCTGCGGCATGTGAACTCTTACTTGCGGCACGTGGGATCTAGTTCCCTGACCAGGGACCGAACCCGGGCCTGCTACACTGGGATCGCGGAATCTTAGCCACTGGACCACCAGGGAAGGCCCACCTCTCCCTTACTCCTGCTGCTACTCCCTCCTTCCGCCCATCTCAGAGTCTCTGGGCTTCTGTCCCCAAAGAGGTGTCCCTGGGCCTGTTGCTGGTTTTCCTTGGCTCTGTCTCTCCAAGGAAAGAAGCCAGGCTTGAGGCAGACAGAACCTGGTCACTGAGAGCCCCCACCAGACCCATTCGCTGTACCTCCCGGGCCAGCACAGCACAGGGTATAAACAGCCCATCCAAGGCCCAGAGAGGCCTCAGGAAATTTCTGGTCCAGGCTCCCCACTCTCAGAGGAGTCTCAGCCTCTGGGTGGTCTGAGGCCCCCACGAGGCAGGGACACATTTCTGAACCTACTTTCCTCATCGGTAAAATAGGATCAAGGCCTCCCTCCCACTCAGTGTGGCCGTGAGGATCCAAGGAAGTTCTGTGGAGTTGCACCTTATCCCAGTGTTTAACCCTCAGGAGCTTCCCTTGGGGTAGCGAGGACACCACTGAGGGCCCCAGCCTCCTTGGCGGTGTCCCTCGCTAGTTCTGGAGGTACAGACATGACTGTCCCAGAAACTTCCCCCAACACAGATGAATTTCATACCCCAAATGCTCTATCATTTTCTAGGCCACGGCATAACACGATCCTAATAATACCCTCGGGGTTCCCTGAGCCAAGGAAGTAAGTTTTTATCTGTCAAAATTGCTGAGAAATAAGTCAGTGTCTTTCTCCTCTAACCAAAATGTATCGTTTTGTTTTGTCTTCTATCCCAGGCAACATTCCAACCCGGAGAGTTGGAGAGTGAAGCCTACCACTCCCACAGAGAAACAGAGGCTGAGGGGAGTGTTCCTCATTCATTCATTCATTCAACAAAATGTTATTGAGTGCCTACTATGTACCAGGCTCTCTCTCCCTCCCTCCCTCCCTCACTGGTGTGTGGGACCTGGGGCAGGGTACCTGGGTGGGTGGAATCCTAACCTATCCAGGGCTCAGGCACCACTGTTACCCCTACATTAGTGGTCAAAGGGTCTGGGCACTGAGTTCCAGGGAAATGATTTTTTTTTTTATCTTTTTTAAATTGGAGTGTAATTGCTTTACAATGTTGTGTTAGTTTCTGCGGTACAATGAAGTGAATCAGCTACTATTTGTATACATATATCCCCTACCTCTTGGATCTCCCTCCCACCCCACCCCCGGCCCTTCCCACCCATCTAGGTCATCACAGAGCACCGAGCTGGGCTCTCTGTGCTATATAGCAGGTTCCCACTAGCTATCTATTTTACACATGGTAGTGTATACAGGCCAATCCTAATCTCCCAATTCGTCCCACCCTCCCCTTCCCTAAAAGGAATGGATGAGAGCACGATTTTTCAGACACACATGCACGCACACAGGAAGCTGGCAATACCATATGGCAATCCCTGTGTGCTCTGTGTGTCTGTGTACACGAATGCCCCACCCTAGGAGGGTGGTCCTTTTTTCCAGCAAACTGTCTCCGAGGCTTCTGGGTGTGCAGCTCCACAGGGCACCACACTAAACAGCGCACCCCTAGAGTTCGAGGATGCACAGGCCTGGCTCTAAGTCTCCAATATTTTATTCCTGAGAGTCCCTCTCACCACCAGTAAGTCTCACCTTGGAAAGGTACTCTGTTCACGCTTCAAACTTACTGCCTCCTTCTTAAAACCCTTCCTGCAACCCAGCCAGCTGGCATTTATGTTCCCCATGTCCCTCCTCTGCCCTTCACCAAATTCCTTCACAGCAGTCGTCTGATGTGCAGTTTATTCTTAATGTACTTTGTCTAATGTTTGTTTTCCCATCAGAGTGGAAGCCCCTTGAAGGTAGGGACTAAGAGGTAAACATACCTCTCGATAGACCCTGAGTGCAAGCGCAACTAGGTGGATTTAGGCAAGTAACTTAGCCTTTCTGAGCTTCGTGCTGCAACTATAAAAAGGGGATGGTGGGCTTCCCCGGTGGCGCAGTGGTTGAGAGTCCGCCTGCCGATGCAGGGGACGCGGGTTTGTGCCCTGGTCCGGGAGGATCCCACGTGCCGTGGAGCGGCTGGACCCGTGAGCCATGGCCGCTGAGCCTGCGCGTCAGGAGGCTGTGCCCCGCAACAGGAGAGGCCACAACAGTGAGAGGCCCGTAATGGAAAAAAAAAAAAAAAAAAAGGGGGGGGATGGTGAGAACCTCTGCCCCACAGGGCTGGATAATAATGAATGAGATAATGAGCCCTCAGTAAATGTAGGTGTCTTTTTCTCTACATATCTCCAGTGCCTAGTATATCATACAGGTTTATTTATTTAACATTTAAAAGTGTAGGTTTATTTATATAACACTTATAAATGTAGAGGGTCTTCTTATTTAGCAAACAGTTCTTCAGTGCTCAGTATGACTCCAGAGTGCTTTTCAGTCTATCTTCTAAGACAGATGCTATTTTTTTTCTATTATTCTATTATCACCGCCCCCCTCATTATACAGATGGTGAAACTGAGGCTCCGAGAGGTTAAGTAACTATCTCAAGGTCACACAGCTAAGAGAAGACACAGCCAGGGTTTGAACCAAGGCCACCGGGTTACATTGCTCCTAATGACTGTACTATGACCACTCTGCTGGACAAATGTGTGTGGAATTCTGAAATTAACCAGGCAACAGTCCAACCTGGGGAGCTGGAGAATGAGGTCTACCACCCCTCCCCCAAAGAAAGAGGGGCTGATGGGGGGCAGTGTTCATCGTTCATGCATTCATTTATTTAACGGCTCCCAAAGAAGTATCAGACCCCGGAACCCGGATGGCAGGGACCCCTGGCCTTTCTGAGCTTCGGCCTCTTCAACTGCAAAATGGAGAAAAATACTTTCTGTTCCAGTCCTGGGCTGTGAGCCCTGAGGATGAGTAAATATGAATGACAGTGGCTGGTCTGCTGTGGTTTTGATAGATGGGGGCGGGGGGGTATTAATAACGGCAGGAGGAGCAGGAAACGGGATTTTTGTCTCCTCAAGGATGGCTATGGCTTGACAATTCCCTTGGGATGAGCAGCAGTGGAGGCTGCAGGAGGGAATTCCCTGGCGGTCCAGTGGTTAGGACTCTGAACTTTTACTGCCGAGGTCCCGGGTTCAATCCCTGGTCGGGGAAATAAGATCCCACAAGCCGCGTGGCAAAAAAAAAAAAAAAAACGGCATTGCAGGCAAGGGAAGCAGCTTTTC